TCAGGCTCAGATTCCTGGGAAGACACACTGGCTCCCCAGATCCAGCCAAGCTTGGTACAAAGGAAACACTTGACCAGCTTGGACGATTTTGCGTTAGGCAGGGCCCAAGCGAAGGTCGTTTTTCATGCTTGGCGTTTTATAATTTGTTTAACAATATAATTTGTCTAATTACTTTGCGGAGTAATAGTCAAGGTGTTTTCTCTTAAGTCAAAGATGCTAACCGGAAGCACAGCATCACCCTAATCGGAAACCCAGTGACATCTCACTTGTCTTTGTTCTTCTCTAGCTCCCCCCCTCTGCCCCCCGCACCCTCCCGAGTCCATCCATCGCTGTTTCCGTCTGTGCAGGACCATTGCTGCTGCCTGCTCTGGGAGGCCACCCAGCAAAGTGCTGGCAGGTGTGAATTGACGTCATGGGCAGAGACCCTGCCGTGGGCATTGACTCTCCCGGAGAGGCCAGCTCAGTGCTTGAAGTTGAGGGATGCTTCTGAGTGACAGGGTGGAATGTGCTCAGCCAGGGGCCTCTGGCTGCTCTCAGAGGCCGCAGGGACTCCTTCTGAGCACACGTGCACCCACTTGCCACCTTCGCTTCTTGTGCTGGAGGGAAGCATGCAGGGAGGACTTAGCAGGTGCCTGGAGGGAAGACGTGGCTCAACGAGACAGCTGTGGCCTTGAATGCGAGAGCCAGACAGATAGACAGGAGGTTTCAGGGGACTGGCAGGATGCTGAGGGCTCCCCTGGACGTGAAGAGGGTCAGGCAGGCTTGCTGGAGGAGTGGCACCTTCATCTTCCCGAGAGCAGGAGGACGAGCAGGACTGGCGATTCCCCTGCACACACATCCTTGCGCATGCTCGTTTATCCTCGAGTTCCCCTTCCCAGCGAGTCCCTCACACTGCCTCCCTGCCCTCTTGACCCTGCATGCCGGCTCCTCACTGCACACAGGGAGGCCTTCCTGGGCCTCTCCAGTTGAGACCAACCTGGGCCTGCCTCCAAATTCATCCATGCCGATCCCTGTCAATGTCTGCCTACGCCCCCACCCCAGAACACAAGCCCTGTGAGAGCAGGGGCCTTCCTGGGCTGCCTGGTTCAAGCCCGTGTCTGGCATCCAGCCCAGGGCCTAGTCCGCGGAAGAGGCCCTTAGAATGTTTGTTGAATGAACGCATGGACGAATGCATGAGTTATCCAGACTGACGGGGAGGGAAGGAAAGCAACATGTGCAGAGTGCCTGAGGGCCGCGAGAGCAGGCCAGGACAGTGGCCTGGGGTGGCGAGGGCAGAGTTTGGAAGGGCAGGGCAAGACCGGGGCTGGTGGATGGGTCAGGCCCAGGCTGCCAGAACGGCCTCGGGGCCTGGCCGCCTGCTGGGGTCAGCCTTGGCCTTGGCCCTCGTGGGAGACGTCTTGTGACTCATTTTAGCTCCATGCCCCTTCGGAGTTGCTTTTGAACTTCTGGTGGAAATCATGGATCATGTCCCAACACTGGGGGTGGGGTTTTTAAGTTGGTTCCAGGAATAGCCATGTCTGCCTGGGGCACACGGCAGGCTTGGCTCCTTCTTGCCACCCCCGTGCCCGCTAAGTGGATGTGACAGCCCCTGGATCTCCAGGCCTGTCCGTGGGGGATAGCTCAGCTCTCTACACCAGAGGGGGAGCCGGGGCTCGGGAGCCAGAAAGCCACTGTGGGCGGGGGGTGCCCAAGCCGGGCCCTGGATGGAAAGAAAACCACGCCAGCTGCGGGAAGTGAGGCTCTTTTCCGCTTCCCACTGCCTGCCAGTCAGCCACTGGCCAAGCACTGACTCAGGCCCCAGTGTATGTGGACAGCTGCCTATTTCAGCAGCGATTAGACGGCAAGGAGGAAGGAATGCAGCCTCGGCCCCCAGGGGCCGTCCACCCACTGAGACCCTGAGAGAGGAGCTGGGACCAGCCTGCATTGAAGGCCCAGGAGGCCGGGGGGTGGGGCTGAGCTGGATCTTGTGGGGGGGGCACAGGGAGAAGAGGGGAGGAGCATCTGGCTGCAGGGGGCTGTGTGTGTGTGTGTGGGGGGGGCCGGAGGGGGGCGCACCTGGTGGGAAGGAGCCCCGTTCTGGGGAAGGCTGCATGGTTGGGTGAGAGGGGGGCTGTGCCAAGGAGGTGGGAGAGCTCAGAGCTCGGCCTGCTGGCCGGGGCCCCCTCCTCCAGGGAGCATGGAAGGAGAAGCTGCGGAAGAGTGACCTCCCTTCTCTTTGGAGCCCCGCAGCTGTGGGTGCTCCTTATAAAACCCTCCCCTCTTGGGGCCCAGCATGCAGAGCCGCTCTCCATGCAGAGCCAAGCGTAGTGGGTCAGCCTCCCATTCCCAGAGACCGCAGAGCAGGCCTTAGAAGGTCTTCTTCATACCCAACTGAGAGGGAGGTACGGCTCCGTGACCCCGGCTCTCACCTCCAGCCTGAGCTGCTGAAAACGCCTGAGGGGACTCAGGAAGAGCAGCTCTGAGGCTGAGGAGCTGGGGGAGGACCCAGGGGTTGAGGGGCCAGCGGCCGCTGGCACCACCCGATGCTTCCACATCTTTCGCATCCTGTGTCTCCTCCTCTGGGTCTGGGTTTACCTATATGTGAGCCTGCTTGGGGGCTTCAGGGCAATTGGGGGTGGAGTGGAGAACTCTCCTGGGTTCAGGCTGAGACTTGGGTCAAGCAGAGGCCAGAGGCGTGAGGGGCTGGCAGTGGAGGAGGGAGGCATGAGCCGGCGACAGCACATTCTGAGCTGATGCTGAGGTGAGGCCCTGAGTGTCAGAGGCCATGGAAATATGCCTTTGCCAAGTGGGCATTGGTGTGCCCTGTCTGTGCCTGTGATGAGCTGGGAGGGGCTTAATGCTGGGCTCTGTGTTCCTGAGCCCGTCCCTGGTTTGGGGGTGCTAAGCAGAGTGCTAGACTGGGGTCTAGAGACTTGGGTTATAGCTGTGGGGGAGCAGGGCCTCACTTGCTCCATTTGTGAATCTCTGTCCTAAGTCAGCCTAAGACTGACTGCAAACGAAGTCCTTTGTAAACCGTCACGGGCTGTGTAAGGGGATAGGATGGTAGAAGTCACCTGTCATGGTGCATATGGAGAAACCGAGGCTAGAGAGGAAAAGATGCCTGCCCAGGGTCACACCTGGCATCGGTGGCAGAGCCACGCCAGGCATGTGGCGCCCTGTGTGTCACACCATGCTACTGTGCCCTAGAAGAGACTGTGGGCAAGGGGAGAGCCAGAGAGGCCAGGAGGGGCTGGCACTGGGGGGCTGAGCATCATGNCTCGGCCTGCTGCTCTGACCATCCTTGTACTTGTAGACACCTTACAGAGAGGAGCTCTTCATGGAGCCTTCTCACTCTGGCATGGGAGGGGACAAGGACACACCTAATGGGTGCCGAGGCAGGCCACCAGGCAGGCAGAAGACAGCTCACATAAGCAGAGACTGCTAACGGTGCTCACATCTAGCTGAGATGGTTAGGGAGAGCTTCCTGGAGGAGGAGGCCTTTAAGATGGGCCTTGAAATCTGGGGAGACAATTGACACCCTCTGCCTGTGGACATGGATTTCCCTGGATGACTGGAAACCAACGGTGATGTCCCTAGCTTCACGTCCGGCTGTTGTAAAGTGTCACTTTCCTCCCATCAGACATTGTAGACTCTCTTCTCCCTCTAGTGATGGGTGCTGGGACCTTTGTCATCCCCTCTGTGACGGAGGGTAAGCACTTTATAGAAGTAGTCACCCCCTCAGAGGCCCCTGTCTCTGAGGCAGGCGTGGAGGGCCCCTGTGTTCTGTCACCTGTGGGCAGAGGCTAGTTCTGGGGGGACAGATGGCTGTACTCTGGGTTAGTTCTTACTGGCACTAACCCATGTCTGTCTTTGCAGGGTGGTCCCTGTGGAGTTCTGGCAGCCGTCCAAGGCTGTGTCCTACAAAAACTCCTGTTTGAAGGAGACAGCAGAGATGACTGCGCTCGGTAAGTCAGCGCTCGTTCTGGCAATATCTTTTCCAGGGGCTTCTCCAGTGTCCAGAAAAAACAAGCAAGGAAGCGCGTGTGTTCCTTGACATTTCCCGTCTTCTGGAAAGGGAAATGGCGCCTGGCTAACAGCGCCTGGCTGACCAGTGAAATGACTTGTGTCATTTGTCTAAAGGCAGGGAAGGTTGGTTAAGTCCTGTCCCACAGGGAAAGTGGCTGCTGCAGCAGCAGCCTTGAAACTAAGGCCACCCCCTCCTCAGAGGCCGAGCGCGGCAGCTGCCCCCGTCGTCCACACCCACGGCAACCTGGTGACCCTTCGGCGGAGCCCAGGTCTCGCCTCCCTCCTCACATCACCTCACCGCTGCCAACAGCCATTACCATATGTCCCAGCCAGCCCCACAGCGCGCTGCTGCCACACCCTTTGGCCGTTTATTCTCCATCTCGCTCATCAAGTGTTTGCACACGGACACCTCATTCTCACTCGCTCAACAGACATTTCTGGAACATCTCCAT